AGCTGCCCCAAGGCTCTCTGGGGTCTGCCTGGTCTCACCTGTTGTGACTGTCTATGTGCTGAGGGAGAAGGTGTGGCTGATTGTGTGGGTGGGTGGGGAGGGGTCTGCCTGGGACCCGCTGCAGGTATGACAGGCGAGTTGGAGGGGCTTGGTGCTTCTCCGCAACAGGGGAATTCTGCACCTGGAAACACCCTGGTCCCGAAGGATTCAGATACGGGCCAGAGGTCTGTGTGAAAGTGTACCCTTGGGGCCAGTGCTGTGGTACAACGGGTAAAGCTGCTGCCTGCACACTGGCATCCCATATGGACGCCGGTTCGAGTCCCGGCTGCTCCACTTCTGATTCAGCTTCCTGCTGATGAGTCTGGGAAAGCAGTGAAGGATGACCCAGGTCCTTGGGCCCCTGCACCCACGTGGGAGAACTGGAAGAGGCTCCTGGCTCCTGGCTTCAGCTTGGCCCAGCCCTGACCATTGCAGCCATTTGGAGAGTGAACCAGAGCATGGAAGATCTCTCTCTCTCTCTCTGTAACTCTACCTTTGACATAAATAAATAAATCTTTTTTAAAAAGAAAAAGCATAGCATTGGGTGGGCATTTGGCTTAGTGGTTCAGATGCCAGTTTGCATGCCTGCATTTCAAGTGCAGTTTCCTACTCATGTGCACTGTGGGAGGCAGCAGGTGATGGCTCGGGTGGCTGAGTTCCTGCCACCCATATTGGCGACCGGGATTGGGTTCCAGCTCATGGCTTCAGCCTGGTCTAGCCCCTACTCTTGCAGACATTGTGGGAAGGAATCCACAGTCCTGAGTGACTCACAGGCCACCCCGTTTCTGCCATTGCTCTTCCCTGAGTGGGGGGGGGCACCAGCCCAGGCTCCGCACTGGGATCGGGTTTTTTACTTTTGTGGCAGCACTTTCTGCATCCTGATTGGGGCCGCTCAGCGGTGTTCACCCGTTCCTTCAACAAGCAGCTTTCTCATGGGCCAGGCAGCGTGCTAAGAGCCAAGGATGCAGAAATGAACACGACACCAGGCTGCTGGAGCGTGAACTCGGCGGCCGTGTCCGTCTCTGCCCTCCACTCAGCATGGTGCCAGGTGTCTCAAAGGTGCGGCTTCACCCAGCACCAAGGAATGAACAGGGACCCTGCCCTTAAGAAACTCTGTCAGGGCAAGCATTGTGGTGGGGGAGGGTAAGCTGCTGCCTGCAATGCCATTATCCAATATGAGCACTGGCTGGAGTCTTGGCTGCTTTGCTTCCAATCCAGCTCCCTGCTAATGCACCTGGGAAAGCAGCAGAAGATTGCCCAAGGGCTTGGACCCCTGGCACCTACAAGGGAAACCTGGTTGGAACTCCTAGCTTCAGCCTGGCCCAGCCCGGCCACTTTGGCCATATGGGGCGTGAGCCACCAGATGGAAGCTCTCTCTCTTTCTCTCTGTCTCCCTCTCTCTATTTAACTCTGCCTTTCAAATAAATCTTTAGTTTATTTATTTATTTGAAAGGCAGAGTTACAGAGAAGCAGAGGCAGAGAGAGAGAGAAGTCTTCCAACTGCTGGTTCACTCCCCAATTGGCCACAATGGCCAGAGCTGGACAGATCCAAAGCCAAGAGCCAGGAGCTTCTTCTGGGTCTCCCACATGGGTGCAGGGGCCCAAGGACTTGAGTCATCTTCTGCTGCTTTCCCAGGTGCATTAGCAGGGAGCTGGATCAGAAGTGGAGCATTCAGGATTTGAACTGGCGCCCATATGGGATGCTGGCACTGCAGGCAGTGGCTTTACCTGCTATGCCTCAGCACCAGCCCCAAAGTAAATCTTAAAAAAAAAAAAAAAAAAAAAAAAAACCACCTCACAATCTAGGAAAGGGCAGTTGATACACAAACAAGCTGGCGCAGGCATGGTTGGAGGCGAGAAGGACAGCCCGTCCAGGGGCGGGCAGGATGAGGAGACACCAGGGCCACTCCAGGCTTTATTGGCGTCACAAGCACTCCTTGGCCGGATGCCCGCATCACACCTGAGTCCATGATACTGCACAAAGCAGCGAGGCCGTGCAGCACCCCCCGAGAGGCTGTGAAGGAGCACCACCGAGCAGCAGGAGAGCGGGGCTCTTGTGTGAGGTCCTTGAAGAAGATGCCGATGAGGAAGACAAGGAATTGTTCTCGCCCACGTTTGGCCATTCTGCCTCCTGGCTCATGACCCAACAGGAAGGCCAGGGCTGGGAGGGCCTTAGCCAAGGTCAGGGCCAGCGGTGAGGCAGGTCTGGATGCTGACACACAGTGGGGATCAAAAAGATCTTTAGACTCATTAAAATGAGTCATCAAACAAACACTGAGCGCCAGCTCCGTGCTGGACCCGAGGTCCCGGGACTCAGCCGTGAGCAGACAGAGCTCCTCCTGGGGCTGACTTCCGGGAGAGCCCTGTCCCCTTCAAGGGGCCATGCACATGGAAGTATAGTTGTAGTTGTAGGCCAGGAGCCCCAGGGACACCAGGGGCACAGGGGATCCGGTGGCAGTAG